AACTCATATCATTGTGGGAAAATTCTTCTTCTACCAGTCCTTCATTACCTTAAACGAAATTGGGTGAATAGATCTCGTATTAATCATTACTAGCAGAACAATCCCACCAAGAGGTTACCATACAAATCAGATCGCTTTCTGTACTTACTGTCGAAGGACGTTCTTATTCCAGCTAATTTTGGATGGCATTGACTCGACTATTGCCGAAGATCAAATGATTACTGAATTTTATTTTGATTTCATACCCTCCTTCCCCTTGGAAGGGTCGACCAGATCTTCTCCGACGTGCTTGCTCGAGACCACCAAATGATGAGTGTAGACGCCACACAGCACGTCTACCTGGCTGTGGCTCTGCTTGTTCGCGGCCAGCTTGGCATTTCCGACATTCGTCGCAACATTGACCGGTAAGTGGCGAACAAGGACTGCTTTTTGCGATGAGGCCGACCAAAATGTCAGGGGCTCACTTGCCTACGCTGGAGAGTTGGTCAAAGATTATCTGGGTGATTGCCTCAACATAACCTGCAGATAAGTCATTCTCACGTCCAGTCTCCTCAAAAGCTAATCAAAAGTCTGGATTATCTTTCTCAAATGAGCTAATCTGTCCTCTGAGTAGATTTAGCAGAATCCCTTTGCTCAGAATCAATCATATGTGCCATCTGAATTCAGCATTTGATGATTCGCTTACGTAATATTCCAGTTTGGGCTACCTTCCTTCATTGCTCTCTTTCGTTCGGGCTATCTCCCACTTACTCAGACACATAATTTTGTATGAGATGTATTCACATCATTTCGTTTAAAGTGATTAAGGACTGGTAGTTGAATTCTCCCACAATCATTAGTGTAGAGCTGACGCTTCCGTTGAACTTCCTGTTGTCTTGCTTTCCCAAAAGGTGTTCTCATCCCGGCTGAAGTGGACTGCAGTTTCGACCTCGCATCGGTCTTATCATCATCCCCAGCGGGAGTCGAACCGCGACAGTGCAGCATGTGAGCCTGACACGTTGACCACTCGGCCACATTGCCACGAGTATCCTTGGGTCACAGGACAGATGTGAATCTCAGGGAAGGCCAGGCATTTTCGTATTTCACATTCTTTGGTGGGGTTTTCGATTAAACAAAGTTATATTCACTATGACAATCGACTACGAAACTTATTTTTCGTTTATAATTTACGTTTCGAGATCACCAGTAGATCTCTTATAACTGACTTTCTGATAGTCTCGAGACTCTACTTATAAACGAAAAATAAGTAATGTAGTCGATTTTCATAGCAAATATAATGTGACATGTATTTCCATTTGGAAAGAAAAGTTGGTTGTAAAGACTTCGTGATTTGGTCTCATCGAAAAGCGAAAGAGGATTGCCGCGGATGAAAGACTGTCGAATTATGCGAAGAAGTCCTCGGCTCATTGTCCCTCTAACCCGATGAAACTGTGCTAAACTTTCGTCTGTACTGTGAAAAAAATCATCAGAACAGGAATGCCTATTTCACGAAATAGAGCAAAAATATACTTAACCAAGTGAAAAGGTGGCCGGCTGTAACCCTAGCCGCTTCGCAACCTTAATGAGGCTTCCGTGATTTTTTTGGCTACTTTAACCTTACTGCATGCACATGCAAAGGAGTTTAGTTAATTCCCGAATCGGAAGTACGTTTGGTAGCAGCTGCTTCCCCGCACAAATAAACTAGTCTATGATCCCCTGATAGTGAATCATATTTGAGCTTGTGCTATTGTCTATTGTGTGTATGCAATGTTCATGTCGTGGGAAGTGTGGTAGTCCCAGCTAGACTCAAAAGTAATCCAGCTTCCTTCTCTTGTTCATTGGCTCTTGCTGCACTCTCTCTCTCTCTCTCCATAAGCCTATCCAACAGTCACAAATACTTCCTACTTTTATACAGAACATTGGCTGTCTTCTTAATTTTTATAGATTTCTTTATCCCACAGTTTGATATGAAGTCCATGTAACCCGGAAAACGTTGAGTTTTAAACCAGTCTATTGAATGTCAAGCATTCACCAAATGTATTCAGCAAGCTCATATTTTTGGACTTATATACCTTTGCAAGCGATTTTGTGTTCGGACAGTCTCTTTTGGATGGG